CCAGTAAAGAAGAATGAGTTCAAGTTGGAACTGAAGAACAGATTTCAAGCCCTTCAAGATCTGGGCGAATGTGAAGTAAACGAACACTGGGACAAGATAAAAAGAGGCAGTAAATGTAACTTGCCAGAGCACCCTAGGACCCAAATAAAACACGAGGAATGAATGGGTTTCACAGGACTCTCTACACAAAGTCAAAAGAAGAATAGAGCTGAAGGCCCAAGTCAACAACACTGTACCCGAACCCAGAAACTTGCTGCACAACAAGAGTACACTGAAGTAAACCGGGAGGTAAAGAGTTCCACCAAGAGGGACAAGAATACCTATCTGAATGGCCTGGCTGAAATGGCAGAGAAAGCAGTAACAGACAGACACTTGCGGATTGTACACCAAACAACAAAAACTCTTTCAGGTAGGTTCAGCAAGCCCACTCTACTAGTGAAAGACAAAGAGGGAGAGACTATCTTCAACCCATAGGGGCAACTTTGATCAACTCTTGAACAGACCACCTCCAGAAAACCAACCAGAAATTCTACCATCCAGAAATGACCTCCCAATAGTTACGGAACCACCTTCGAGAGAGGAAATTGCAGCAGGTATAACATCACTAAAGTCCCACAAGGCAGCTGGTCCCGACCATATACCACCTGAGGCCCTAAAGGCAGATAAAGATAAATCAGGGGAAATTCTCTATGCTCTATTCGAAAAGGTTTGGCAAGAGGAGGAAATAGCATCAGACTGGAAGGCAGGCCACCCAATCAAGTTGCCAAAGAAGGGAGACCTCAGCAATTGTAACAACTACAGAGGTATAACACTCTTGTCTATGCCTGGGAAAGTCTTTAACAGAATACTCCTGGAGATAAATAAGCTGGTAACAGACGAGAAGCTCCGAGGGAACCAGGCAGGATTCCGCAAAATCCGATCATGAGTGGACTAGATCGCTACTCTACGCATCATTGTTGAGCAATGGCTTCAATGGAATTCCTCACCAGTGGTCAACTTCATTGATTATGAAAAGGCGTTTGACAGCGAGGACACGGAAACTCTGTGAAAACTCTTGTGGCATTATGGAATACCTGACAAAATCGCCAAGCTTGTGAAGGCCACCTATGATGGAACAAACTGCCAAGTCTTTCACGAAGGACAACTCTCAGAACCATTGGAGATACAGACAGGAGTGCGACAAGGATGCTTGCTCTCACATTTGATATTCATACTGGCAATTGACTGGGTCATGAAAGAAGCCTCCAGAGACAAGCGTAATGGAATACATTGGGTCCCTTGGCGGAAGCTGGACGACTTGGGCTTCACCGATGACCTTGCACTGCTCTCTCACACACATGATTCAAGAAAAGACCTAGGAACTAAACAGTCTATCAAGGAGTGTTGGCCTACGTATACATTCAGGCAATTCGAAAGAAGTGAAGCTAGGAAAAGTTTTAAGCCCTGATGTGACAGTGAAAGACCATCCCCAGAAAGAAGTGGACTCCTTTATCTACCTTGGAAGTGTCTTCGATGGTAAAGGTGGAACCGAGGCAGATGTTAAAGCAAGAACTGCCAAGGCAAGGTCAGCATTCAATCAATTATCAAAAGTCTGGAAAGCAAGCAACATCTTACTGGGCACCAAGATTCGACTCTTTAACTCCAACGTCAAGTCTGTGCTCCTCTACGGCTGCGAAACTTGGAAGACAACAAAGACAGTACTGCATAGAGCCCAGACTTTCATCAAGAGATGTATGAGGAGTATTCTAAGACTTAAGTGGCATGATAGAATAAGATTTATGAAGAGCTGTGGGACAGGACATGACAAAAGAGATTAGAAGTAGAAATAAGACTAAGAAAGTGGCGATGGATGGAACACACCTAAATAAAGCCTAGCAGAAACATCACAAGACAGTCACTGCAGTGGAACCCACAAGGAGCATGAGGCAGGGGTAGGACACGGGAAACAAGGAGGATATACGTGGAAAAGGACATGAGAGGAAGGAAGCTCACTTGGAACGAGCTTTGAAGGATGGTCCAGGATAGAGATAAATGGAAGGAGCTTGTAAGTGGCCTATACCGTGCCAGGGCCGAAAGGCATTGATGATGATGATTGTCTTTGAACTCGGTTCAGTAACCGAATCATTTTCTAGAGTGTGTGTTGGTGTGAGTTTGTTTGTGTCTGTTTTTATGTGTGTGTATGTGTATATGTGCGTATGTGGGTGTCTGTGACATGCGTGTGTGTGTGTGTATGTGTGTGTGTGAGTGTGTGTGTGTGTGTGTGTGTGTGTGTGTGTTTGTGTTGTGTGTGTGAGTGTGTGTGTCTGTGTGAGTGCCAGCGG